AGTAGGTCCCATTTATTCAATGTTGCCCTTAATGTCTGTGCTGCTGGGGTTATACATAGGAAGCGATCTCCTGTGCCCATCTGTTGTAGGGTACTACCCACTTTCTCTTCTATCAGGTTCAGTGTGTTCGGACTGATATTGAGGTCTTTGATCCATTTGGACTTGAGTTTTGTGCAAGGTGATAGATATGGGTCTATTTTCATTCTTCTACAGGTTGACATCCAGTTGTGCCAGCACCATTTGTTGAAGATGCTTTTTTCTTCCATTGTATACTTTTAGCTGGGTGGGATAGGGAAAAGAGGTATTGGGCCGTATAGCCCCTGCAGGATGACCAGGAAGTGTAGGAGGGATGAGGAATGTCTGAGTTCCCTGTCCCGGGCTGCTGCTCACCCCAATGATGTCTCTCCTGTTGCCCGGATGGGATCTCCGTTCTGCTTGGGTAGCTTGTAAACAAAGGGCCTACCTTGTTTGCTGCAGGCAGGCTATTGAGCTAATACAATGTATTTTAATTACATGCATCACCCTGTGTAAGATCATCCTAGTTGCATTCCACTAGACACCAAAGGGAACCTCTGTGTTCCTTTACTCTTTCTTGAACTTTTATGACTGATAATTTGGTATTAGGATGCATTCAAAAATATCCTGATATTCTTCTTTATTAAATTTTCATTTACCCATCAGATTATATAAAGCCTGTTCTAAGCACATTCATTCTCCTATTTTATCATATGTACTATTGAGACAATCTATTAACTTTGTAAATTTTTGCATTTATTTGAGGTGTACCCATACACACATACAATCATGTTTTTGTGTGTGCCTGAGTGCTTATATTTTCTTGTTTGTGTTTGTATGTGTTGGGTGTACATTTGCTATGACATAAGTGTGAAAGTCAAGGAAAACTTCTGGAATCAGTTTTCTCTTTTCACCTCATGGGTCCCAACAATGAAAACCAGAGAGTCAGGCATGGCAGCAAAAGATTTACCTCCTTAAACATCAAGCTGGTCTACAAGTTTGTCCAATTCAGTAGTTGTATGTTTTGCTTAAGAGGGATGTTGCCAAAATTTTTATATTGTTCAATGATCTGCTTCCAAATTTTATAAAACATCTTAATCAGAGTTAATTTTTTATGGTTAGATACCTCTTTTTCATTTATAAAAGATGGTTCTTTTTAATTTTATTTCTTGTGACTTTCATACATGAGTAGGATACTTGCATCATTTCTACCCATTTGAATACGTCTGAAGTACTTGATACCCTATGCCATGGGTACTTCCCCAGTCATATTTCTTGTTGTTCTATTCTCAAGAACTAAGAAAAGAAAACTATCTAGATGTATTTCAGGCTAATGGCTAATAAAAATTTGTCACGTGCACACTCTGTAATACTATTCATTGGTAAGTAACAACAAAATCATAAATTTTTCAGAAAAATAAATGGACTCAAAATATTTTACTGAATGATAATACACAGACCATAAAAAAGGTTGAATTATTTCTCTTATGTCATGTTCCTAGCTCTGAAACATTATTCATCTTATAATTCTGTCACTGCTTTGAAAATAATGCAGCGAATTATCTGTTGTGGGCTTCATAGATCTACATTTCCTCTGTATTTACTACCAGAGCCTCAGCGTTGTTCTCTGGCATATTTGACTTCTCTGATTTTCATGCACAAGTTAATAACAGACATCTTCATATTGAAGAGAACCATCACCTCTGTCAAATGCAGATT